CCTCCAAAGACTACTGGGAAGTGAAAGCCGGATGTCTCATCAGGCATCATGTCGTTCCTCGCAGGACTCAATTTGACATCAACTCCATGTCTTCACGAGACAAAGAACATCTACCAGTGCCAATTGACAAGCTCGACAACTCGAGGGTCACAATTTACCAAGGACCCAATGATGTCAAGCACCTTTGTGACAACATCCATGATCCCTCCAAAGCCTTTGATAAGCCTTGGATTGGTTGCACAATTTTTCAGATCAACGGCGACACTCGCAAAGACATGGGCATGCATGCGTACACGGTCACCACAGCTAAGCAGCTGGGCAAGAAGGAGAAAACCCATGCCAAGCGCATGATCAAGCGCGACCAGAACAAGAACGACATCTCAGAGCGCAACTTGAGTTTGCAGGACAAGATTTTGTTTCATCAAGCCAAGGTGAAGGAGCTGAAATCATTTTTTGAGAATGATGTTTGGTCATTTCAGACCACACGTGAAGCTGTCCCTGACCGGACGTTCACCAGCCGTATTTTGCTGAAGTGGGCGAAGAATGCCGATGGGACACCAAGGGCCAAAATACGTTTGGTTGTCAGAGGATACACAGACGCTGATGCTTTGGCTGGCAGATTGGATACAGCTTCACCAGCTTCTACCAGGCTTGGAAGATCTTGTTTGCTGAGTATTTCATCTTGTTTGGGTTGGTGCGGATGGAGCGCCGATGTTTCAACTGCGTTTTTGCAGGGGTTCCCTCAGGAGCGACTTTTGTGGGTTAAACTCCCAGCTGATGCTTTGAAAATTTTGGGTGGCGACGAAAACACCCGCATGCTTTTGCACAAGCCTGTCTACGGACAGCTGGACGCTCCAAAGAGGTGGTATCTTGAAGCATCAAGGCGTCTTCGGTCTTTGAATTGGACTCCACATCCAATGGACCCATGCCTTTGGTGTTTGTATGAGCCTGCGGCTGAAGGTTCAACTCCAGTTCTATGTGGACTTCTTTGTTTTCATGTGGATGACATGCTGGGCACAGGCAATCCACAATCTGACACATATCTTGCGTCAGAGGAAGCCTTGAAAGCAGCCTTCAACTTCCGCACATGGCAGAAGGACGAACCATTTGAATACTGTGGGGCAAAGATAACTAGGGATGATGATGGCACCTGGCGTATCAGCCACAAGGACTATATCCACAAGATTCAGCCATTGCCATTAGAGAAGGACAGGCAGACACATCAACCGATGTCTGACAAAGAGCACACGATGCTACGACAATTGCTGGGCAGTCTCCAGTGGCCGGCAGTTCAATCTTCTCCTCACATCCAAGCATCTACGTCCTTGCTGAGCGGTGAAATGAGCGGTGGTTTATCAAGCCCTTTGCTAGAGGCCAACAAGCTGCTGAGATTTGCAAAGTCCAATGCGGACGTTCATTTGAAATTTCCTCCAATTGGAGCATTGGAAAATCTCAGGATCACTTGCATGTTTGACGCAGCGTTTGGTGTTTGACACGATCAAAGCAATCAAGGTGGCTTTTTGATTTTGCTCACCAACAAAGATGCCTTCGAGGGTATTGAGACCCCTTACCACATTTTGGATTGGCGCTCATTTCGTCTGCCACGTGTGGCGAGGTCTAGCCTCGCAGCTGAAGTTTAAGCTGCGGCCCAAGCTGTGGATAGCACTGAATTTGTGGTTCATTTCTGGCATATGCTTTTGAATCCAACTACCAGCCTGAAAGACGCCTTGCAGATTTCCAATCCTTCCTTGTTTCCAACACTCATCACTGATGCCAAAGCACTATATGATTCTTTTCACAGAGACGCAATCAACCATGGTGCGACCGACAAGCGCACGAATTTGGAGTTGAGAGTGATTAAAGAGCAGGTAGAAGGTATTGGAGGTGTTTTACGTTGGATTTCTTCTGAGCGGCAGTTTGGAGATAGCATTACAAAAATGGCAGCCCGCCAACTGCTAGCCGATCGAATCAGACATGGTGCGATCAAATTCACTTTTGATCCTGGCTATACCGCCTCCAAGAAAAAGACAGCAGCTCAGAGAGCGAAAAGCAGGAATGAATTTACAACTACAACAAACCACAACCAACTTTCACACAACCACAACGCAGCCAATGATGACGTGCCTGTGTATAACATGTCCCCGGTCTCAAATGCTGTTGATGATAATGACCTGACCCCTGAAAATAATATGGTCCCTGAAGAAGCCATAGTTTCTGAGAATGTCGAGATTTCTGAGTATACCATGATGGCTGAATATGCGGCAGTTTTTGAGGAGACCTTTGCCCGGCCGAGCCATGGCGCGCACCCCATTTTCCAATTTCTTCTTGCAGCAATTTTGCCGATGATTTCTGGCGGCACTGATTTGGTGCCATTTGGTTCTGGATTGGAATCGCGACAGTGCGAAGAGCAGCTGAAGAGTTTGCATACCACCGTGCAGACAAGTCATGGTGGCCACTGCTGGTTTCATTTGCCGTGTTTTTGGCACTGCTTTCTAGAATCATTTCTTTGATTTGGCGACGCGCGACGCAACATGTACGACAGCGCCTGCTGGAAGCTGAGAATACCATTTTCAATTTGAAGCGCGATCGGAGAAGACTCATCGACCGGACCGTCAAGGCTAAAGGACACAACGTTGACCTTCAATTTGAACTGAGTCAACAGGATGAGTTGCGTGAGCGAGACCGCGCTCACGATCGACAGGTAATTCGAAAGGCAGTTGGTTTACTGGATAGGACGCTAGTGGAACTTCATGCCCTAAATCAATTCCAGACCTTCTATGCGCCCTCAGGACGTTACTGGCATTTCTCACGAGAGTGTGGAGCTCTAGCCAACACTGCCCAGGTAACTGTTCGAAACCCATGCTCCTTTTGTTTGAATGGTCATTTGCTTCCTCATGTTCCAAACGAGCATACTGGCAGAACACTGGCTGAAGATTGTGCTAAATTCTTTGCAGTGCATGGACCGAGAGAGACCTACATCAATACCATCATATACTAAGAGCCAAACATGTAACTTTTAAATTTTTTTTTCACCCCTTTTCTCTCCGTGTCGATTGCACTCCATGCAACGCATTCATTTAAAGCATCATATGTTAAGAAGACATAGGGACATAGCGTTTTCACTTCATTTGGTCATAGAACTTGGCAGATCTCATTTCCATTGTCCTTTCTCCATTCAAGAATGGGTAGGCATCTTGTAGCTACCCAACTAGCTACGTCTTCGAGGAAAAGGCCTTGCTTGCCTTTCACTATTTGCTAAATAAGGATTTTGCATGCCTTAAACTTTGGTTAGCTCCCTACCAATCAACACTTAAACTTATCTCTCGCGACCTTTCGCGAAGCAAATTACTCTCGCGATCTTTCGTAACCCAGTATTTCTTTTTCGCGAAAATAATGTAGTATAATTCCCTTATATAAACAATAGATTAAGGTTTTTTTCGTGGTTCAAATATAATACGAAGCCAACACCGCGCCAAAATCTCAAATATAAATTCCAGGAAAATTTCATTAAACAAAACAACGAAAAACCTACAACGGCAATAAAATAAAAAATTAAAATATATATATTTATATATTACATAAAATAATAATCATCTTATAATATATAAAAAAAATAAATAAATTCAATAATTCAATATCAAAAAAAAATATTTAATAATAAATTTTCAAAATATCGTAAAAATATCATATTTTATCAATATATATTAAAAAATAATAATTTAATTCTTAAATTATATCCTAAATTAATTTTTTAATATACAATAATTATTTTTAAGATATTACAATAAAAACATTCTTTTTATTTATTTTATTATTTTTCATCAAATTATATTAAAAAATAATATTTCAATTCTTAAATTATATCTATAATTAATTTCAACATATTTAATATTTATTTTCAACATATTAGAATTGCCATTACACACCGCTACAACTACGACAACTACTACGCTACAACTACCACTGCAACTACAACTTAAAATAGACTACAGCTACACTACAACACTACAACGACAAGTACCACTGCTACAGTAAACAACAACTACTACAACTACACCTACACTACAACTACAACAACACAACAGTTACCACTACACTACACAACAACTACAACTGCAACTAAAACTACACTACAAATACACCTACACTACACTACAACTACAGCTACAAGTACAACTCCTACAACCAGTACAACTACTACAAGTACTACAACTAGTGCAATTACTACAGCTACAACTTCAACTACACTTCAACTACAACTACAACCACAACCACCACTACAACTATAACATTACAATTTGATTCAACAACATCAACTACACTACAGCTACAACTACAACTACAACTACAAATACATTGCGCTTCCCTACACCACACTACATCCTGCAGTTGTGGGTGAGGTGACCACTGCGGTAACTCCAAAAATCACAACCGCCTTTCCGTGCATCAGTGGATTCGCTCTGCCATCCATGCATCACAACAACTCACCTCTCCTATAGTTTCCTATCTTAAAAACTTCCGCCACAGCCTTGTGCGGTACTACTGGTATTCTATCGGAATTTGTTTTCTCAAGACTTTGCATACTGCTCCAGTCGCAAGGCGATCATCCCAATAGCGATGGCCGTAATCAAAGAAAAGTTCTTCGCCTTCCTGACCACAGCAGCTTCAACTGCGCATAAAACAAACCAACACCAAAGACTTTCCACGCGATGAGACATGCATCAAATCCACCTTAGGTTTCTGGGCGCAACCGAAGCCATCCAGGGCCTTTCTGAGGACCAGATTCCCAGCACGCACAAACACCCTTGTCAAGCTTGGCTCATGTTCTCATCGCACCTAGATCCTGCAATGTCAACCCAAGATTCTTCGACATCACGCGTCGTGAACAACTCAGCCACGTGCTTTTCCGGGCAGCACACCAATTGGAGGTTATAACTGTCAAGACTTCCTGGGAGCAGTGGAGTTCCATTGCGGACTCTGCTTGCGACATAGGCATCAAAATCATGCATCAAGGCCGAGCATCGACAATCGTTGATGTATCTGCCCTTCACAGCAAGGTGCGGACCTGCATCAACATATAGAGAGCCGTCCTTGGGCCGGAAGTCTTAGCAACCTCTGAAGCCAATGGGCCAATGAATGAAAAACAAATGCATCATATCATTGTTTTGGACTTGGGCTAATAAACAGCCGACGCAAGCAACTAGCAAAGCCCTTACAGTTTGCAGTCAAATGACATGAGAACATGGCTGACTCAAAGCATGTTGAGGCCTTTGGTGCCTGCAAGCGGCAGCCAGTTCATCAACTGCAGATGCGGTCTGGCCCAATCGCATGACATACTCCTGGTCCTTCACAGGATGGACAAGGCATGAAGTCTTACGAGACATGGTGACAAGAATCTGGTTGAATGAAGCAATTGCTGATGAAAGGAAATCAGGATGAAATCAGCAGGTTGATCCATATGATGACGCTAAAGCACCTGCCTGCACGCTTTCTTAACCCTCTCGCTCTCGTTCTATTTTCTATGGGGAGAAGCATGTTATTTACCGCAAATGGCCAATCTACAGCAATTAAAGGGGGGAAATTTCGATCAACATAAACAAATTGGGGTGCCCTTCTTTTCAGACAAACTTGTGTTGAAATCTGTTGGTGGTTCCCGGGGGCCAAGGTCGCATCTCAAGCTGAACTCTCAGTCCTGAAGCTTCATCGAGGATTTGAGCGTGTGAATGTTGCCTCCCAAATCTCTCCCCTTTGCACAGTCTGCTCGCCTCCCTATTGTGAAGCTAAACAACCGTCAGCTGGACCTTAAGTAGAGGCCTGCTGCATGCCATGTAGACACATATATGCAATTAATTGTATATGTAATTCATGTGCACAAAGTTTCCTGGCTTCAGTTTGTGAGCCTCCATAATGAACAACCAGTTGATTGGCTGGCAATGCCTTTGTAGCAAAGAGGCCCAGCCCGGCTTCCACACCTGCGAAAATCAATCAGCATACTGTACTAGCATATATTATCCATGCATATCCATGCCCTTTACAGAGAAGAACCGAGATTTCTGATCATGTCCAAGGTCTCAACTGTCAAAGACAATGAAAAAAATCCTCAATCCAACATTGCCACGTAGTGCTGCCTGACATATATCTTGAACACTTCATGATTCACACAATCATGATTTCAACCTCCTGCCTAGCTGCGATGGTCGCACTTCTAAGTGTTCATCTTCGAAGTCCACTGGCAAAGAGGACCACAACCTTGGCTAAACAATAAAAGTCTAATGCGCGATCCTGTGAGAAAAAGTGTTTTGGAAGATTGCACAAAAAATCAAAAGTCTCAAGAACGAGCCGGGTCACAACTTCAGATCTGGGGAACGGCAAAATGTGGCCTTTTGCTCTAAAGAACCATGCAGCTCCTTAAGTAGCCAGTTCTGACGCATTGCCCTATCTATCTAGCGTACGCATGGAACCTTCCACTTAGCCGGCACTACTTGCATCCCTGCAGGATGGCCAACGCACATGTTTGGCCCTGCGCAGTTCCAAATGTGGCTTTGCCAATGGTTGGAACATAATCCGTTCCAGCCAAGGCATGAAATTGCGACAGCATGAGTCAAACACATTGAACTAGGTCCTAAATCTTAATTCAGTCCCCCCATGCCCAACCAAGTTCATCCAATCAACTCTTTCTGCACCAGTTCCATGCGCTGCCGCAGTGCTGAGATGTCATCCACCTCGTGCGCCAGGAGGTCTGCCTCCTCATCCCCGGATCTTGGTGAAGCAACCAACAAACTGCGGTCGGGGGAGACAAGCTATCGGATCATGTGATAATACAAATCACCAAAATCTCGCAATGTGATCGTTGATACAAATTCCCGGTGGAAAGAACTGATCATCTGAAAGGGGAGAGAGAGCTTAATTGAGCAAATCTGGGCCATTCGAAGTGAAAGTCTGTTTGATAAATGCCTGATAGTGACCGCCGGCAGGCTGCCAGGTTTGTTGCATAACCGAAACATTATATCCCATGAGTTTGCTGCACGCCAAAAGCAGTCCCTTAAAATCTTTTTCCTCCGGCAGAGCTTCTGGTCGTGAGGCTTGCAAAACAATGTGACTTCGAAACGTGTGAAGTCTAGCCGAATAAGTCGAACTCCATTTCTTCCTCCTCTTCCTCCTCCACGACTTTTTTCTCCTCCGTCTTTTCCGCTGCTGGCGCTGCACTGCCACCACCACCGCCTGCGACTGCAGGACCACCACCACCGCCACCGCCACCAAACTTCAGCATGCTCTCCAAATCCTTTCCTGCACAAAGCTTTGCAAACAATGCAGGGAAAAAGCTGCTGACAGAGCCTCCCGCAGCCTTGATCAAGGTATTGATTTTCTCTTCTGAGATGTCCAGCTCACTGTCCTTCAAGATCATTGCGGCATAGGTGCAGAAGAGCTCCTCTTTCTCTGCCGGCGGCACCTCATCTGCCGGCACTTCCGCCATTATTGTATGGAGGGCGAAAAAGCTCTGCGATCCCTCGAGCCGAAACAATGAATGAAGCGTGCTGGTTGAAAGTTGAAAGGTAGGCTTGTGAATAATTCAGCATAATTCAGCTCAAATTTCTCTTGCCACTCCTCTACTAGAGACGTCCAGCTCATTGCCTTCAAAGATTTCGTGATTTGAATCTTGGTTGCGCCGTTGGAGCAAATGGCAACTTCAAGCCCTGGTGCCCCCAGCCACTGTCCTCAGGGCATTCTTCAGAACTTGGCCGCGCAGCTAACTCCAGCCATTTCTCCAGCCGACAGAATCGCTGCCACAAACGCCGGTATGGCTCGTGCTGCAACGGCAGCGTTGTAAACATCAACTTCGAAGCATTGGGGCTATGGACAGCCGCGCTGGCTGCCCGAGAATGTTTGGGCCTGGCCCCCACCTCCCACTTAGATGAAAGTTTTGACTCCTTGCTTTTTGAGGCGGTTAAATGAGCAGCAGCTCGTGTGGATGAGATTTGCTTTCGGTGCTAGCAAGTTTGAATGAATTGGATTAGTAGATCGCAAGCCCACGCAATCATACTGACATTCTTTCTACAATTTTTGCTTGAAAATTTGCCACTGGCTGCAGACAGAGCATGGGCAAACACTATCGCAACACAGAGCGTCTTCGCACCATCTTCCAAGTGCGCGTAAGGAGCCCAAAAACCCATCGCCTAGCCACAGTGACATTGCTCCACAATCCCGCCATGTCTTAGAAAGCTGATGCCACGTTTTCTTTTGCCTTGTTTTCCAACAGTCACCATTTCTTTTCGCCCTTTAGGCGGATCTGCGCTTCTTCTGGCAGCCACAACAGAGGAGCCCAAAATTTGAGATGGTCCTGATTCCTTGATCACTATATAAAGATCAATCTGGTGGCTACCAAGGGCCGGTGTAGCAGCATGAGTTGGGAAATTTGTCCCAGTTTCACCAGCACAAACAAATTCCATATTTCAGCAGGCTCGCAGACAAAAATCAGTCGCTGGTGTGTCGCCCCACTACTTTTGAATCGAAACCATGTCAAACCATCAGTGATATCAATTTCATCCTTGCCGACAAGTATTTGAAAGGCTTTATTCGGCTTTATTCACTTCCACTATAAAAAACTCCACTACGTTCAACCATGGGCATGGCTGAGCCTTGCGCCTCAGGCTGGGCATGTGCCCTTGGGAAGCATTAGCATTGGGGTGACTGAACAACGTCACCCAAGTCGGGGTGATTAACGTAACCCAGGTGCTTCTGCCTTTGGATTCTTCCAAGAACAAAAGTAGCTCAAGCCTCCTGCCACCAAGGGAGGACACAAGCACATCAAGACAAACGTGGGACTTGCACACTGCTCCCTGGGTTCCCGCATCATCTCCCGGCCAGGTCAGTGGTGAAACTTGCTTTTGAGAATATCGAACTACGCTCCTTCAGCGGAGACAAATTGCCAGGACAAGTGATGGAACACCAAAATCAAAACTCCTGATAGACCAGAACAGCAAGAGCCGGGGATGCTGGCTAAGGATTTCCCACAATATATCTATATGTAAATATACACCTATATATGTATATATTTAACTATATAACCAAAAATATATATATATATATATGTAAAAAATAATATGTATGTATGTGTATATATATACACACATATATAATATATATATATATATATATCCGAATAGTTCCAAATATATAGCATCCCAATCATACAACTCATCCTGTCAGCCTCACCAGTTGGTGACACGTCCGGCCTACCCAGGCCATACCTCTCATGCTGACCTCGATGCATCGCTCCAAGTGGGCTTTGCAATCAACAGGACATTACACACAACTAGGATCGATTAGATGCTTCTGAAAGACACTCTCACATATCTGTTTGTATATCTACTTGTGGTGCATCCATTGCTATATTATCTATCTATCCATCCATCTGTCCATCCATCTATCTACCTACCATTTTTCACCTACATGTTGTATACTAGACATATATCACGTACCTATGATGTACCTATGTGTTCACATGCAAGTTCTTGCCGCCCCGTATTTCTCAACTTTCCTTGGGATTATCCCCGCAGCCGAAGAGTGGCAAATCAACTGCCGCAAGCGGAGGATGTCAGTCACCCTTGCCCTAAACACACCCATCCCATCCCATTCCAACCAGCACTCAAACAAAACATCCTTGGTGCTTTGCTATGAAGCTGGCTTCTCTGCATGCCCGTCGCTCGCAAGCATCTCTTCGACCGTCAAATCCCTTGCACGCTGAACTTCCTAAGATCAGTAAGGGCAGAAAAAGAAATGAAAGAGTAGCCAAAGCTGCCGTGTTGAATCCATGCCAACCCTGGTGAATCCATATGTTCTCACGATTTTGAAGTCTGAAAAGAAAATGAGCGACAGCGTATCATCCACATGTAAACTGCCAGTGGAAGGCCGATGCCATCCGAGCAGCTTGGCGCAGATTTTGAGGCATTTTCCCTCCTGGGGGTGTCTGCGCAATTGGTTCCACCTCCGCATTGGGAAACGGATGGACTGTGGGCCGACACTTAGGTTGATATCCAAGGAGAACTGTGCGTATAGCATTCAACATTTCCGAAATGCATTAACATCTGACCTGAGCAATTACGCTCCACAACCCTGGGGCAGGAGTTCAGTTATATGGGGCAATGAGCTTGGCAAAGGGATGAGCATAGGAGATATTGAAGTTTCAAACAATACTTTGAAAACAGCAGTGGGCAATTTGGAAATTAATGCCTGATTTCAAAAAACATTCCTACATCATCCTGCGTCCAATTGTTTCGCTTTTGGTGCCACAGCTAAGTTTCACAACCTGCTCCGACTTCATACTGATACGCGTGTAGAGGTCCTGGAACCCGCACCCGCCACAAGCGAAACGAGTGCTGAAAACAGTTCATATGAAACACATCCTGCAAACATTATGGCAAGCTTCATCCCAACTCTCATTGATTAATTTTCAACCATATACAACAAATATTTCCATATGGTTAAATTGAGGAAGCACATCATTATTAGCGGATTCCACATGATTACTTCTGATTTTTTAATGTGGAATTCAACAGCCATCTGGGCTCCCCATGGGCATCACCATGGCTCCCCCAGTCCTTCATCAAGGTCTTTCGCAGAAGTTGGTTCTCCGTGGCTGTGGCACTGGGCCCGGACGATAAGGACATGGCGCACTAGCTGGGTGAGTGCAGCTGGAACGTTTCTTCTCATTTGGCACAAATCGCTATATCACAAAAAAAATAGAATATGTCATATTATATTGTAAGATATCGTACTTTATCCATACATCACTTAGTCCTTCTTAGTCTTTCGCAGAGAGTTTACTGGCAAATTCCTTGTAAAGGTTGTGCAAACCATCTTGATGAAAGAATCTGAGATCTCATGGCGGATTCCCGCGTATTTAAAACAGATTTGTGGCGATCGAGCAGCAGTGGCCACTGGTCAGCTTGAGACTAGTTCATCCATTTCAAACATGAACAGTTTTCCATCATGTCCGTGCAAGGGAAGAACTATTTCGATCTATTTCGGATATTTGAAACAAGGTCCAAAAGTGCGCCCCCCAAAAGATCCGATCTTCAGACCTCTTTATCTGAGGGGAACTGTGTAGCAAAAGAAATGGGTTTCAGTGCCTTGCATTTTTGACAGAGCTGACTGTGCTGGGCTGCCTTATTGCGCGGCTAAACAATCCCATCTCAGGAGTCCCTGGTAGACCCTCAATATTTCATGGGAAAGTGACAGCGGTAGTGGCAAGATGTCGCAAGTAGCAGCGCATCGTCATGCCAGAAAGAAAAGTCATGGAACTGAGTACCGCAACCTTCCATGTGCCATGATGCAAGCCACTAGCGCGGGCGAGACATCACAGGCGCAAACCTCCGAAAATTTCAGATGACATCCAAGAAGGCTGCGCTTTCTCAATCAGCAATGCCAACTTCTCTGCGCTTTTAAGGCTGCGACTTAGCTTCCACTTCCAATTCATAACGCGGGATTCGCATGCTTTGGTAGAAATGGAATTGGGTTGGGCAGCCATTCTTAGCTGTTCATGATCTTTGGGGAGAATCGAATTCTCCAGTTCGCCACCAGCGTTCCTTGACCTTAACGCTAAAGCTGACTACCAGTAGTACCGCGCAAAACGGTGGTGGAAGTTTCAAAAATAGGAAACCTATAGGAAGGGTTGGTTGTTGTGGATCACGGATGGCAGAGCGAATCCACTGATGGACCGACAGATGGTTGGAGTTGTGTTTTTTCGAATGGTTGCAATGGTTGCAGTGGTCACCTTACCACAACTGCTGGATGTAGTGCGGTGTAGTGCAGTTGTAGTTGTAGTTGCAGTTGTAGCTGTAGTTGTAGTGTAGTGTAGTGCAGTGTAGTGGAGCTGTAGCTGTAATGTAGTGTAGTTAGTGCATTTGCAAGTGCAGTTGCAGTTGTAGCCGTGGTGTGGTGTAATTAGCGTAGTGTAGTGCAGTGTAAAGCCGTGTAGCGTTGTGTAATGTAGTGTGGTATAGTGTAGTGTTGTCTTGTGTAAGGTAGTGTAGTTGTAGTTGTAGTGTCTGTAGTGTAGTGCAGTGGAGTGTAGTGTAGTGTAGCCGAGCGTAGTGTAATATAGTGGTAGTTGTAGTCGTAGTGGCAGTTGCAGCTGCAGTTGTAGTGTAATGTAATCAGTGTAGTGTAGTGTTGTGTAATGTAGTGTGGTTGTAGTTGTAGTTGTATTTGTAGTTGTAGCGTGCTGCAATGTAATTAGTGTAGTGTAGCGTAGTTGTAATTGCAGTTGTAGTTGTGGTAGTAGTTAGTAGTTGTTGTCGTAGTTGCTAGTGTAATCGGTGTAGTGTAGTGCAGTGTAATTAGATGTAATTAGTGTAGTGTAGTGTAGTGTAGTGTAATTAGTGTAGTGCAATGTAGCGTAGTACATTGGCATTTGTAGTTGTAGCAGCTGTAGCAGTAGTGTAGTTTAGTGTAGTGGCAGCTGAAGTTGTAGTTGTAATTGTCTGTCTATCTATCTATCTATCTAATCTAATCGAATCTATCTATCTATGTATCTATGTATCTGTCTGTCTGTCTGTCTGTCTGTCTGTCTGTCTATCTCTCTGTTTGTCTGCCTGTCTGCCTGTCTGCCTGTCTGTCTGTCTGTCTGTCTACCTGCAAGCTTGAAAACGAAGCTATTCTGTGAGACGTCCTCAGGTTTTCAAACTTGACAACATCAAAAACGAAACAATTCTGCGAGACTTCCTCATTTTTCGAAGCTGACAACATCAAAAACGAAGCAATTCTGCGAGACTTCCTTCAAAAATGGAAAGTTGAGTGCAGAGCTGACGGCCTCGTGCCAATGCGTTTTGCGATTTTTCCACTCCATCATACTCCATCTGTCTAAAGTACTGCGCCTAGCACAAGTAAGTGATGCCAGGTCATACGAAGTCACGGAGTGCTGCACATGTCACGCAAAATCATCTCAGCAAACCTGAAGATCTGATACTCCAAACTGACCTCCTACATCTCTGATTAACATGTTTCTTGTATTGCGGCTGCCATGCGAAATCCATCTTTGCAGATCCTCCTCAAATGTCCCACGCCTGCCATCATTTTTGGAAATGCTACAAAACCTTCGCGTTTTGCTCACTTTTGACAAGGTGCACAATCCCTTGTGCCTGCCACGAGAAAGCACATCTGAACGTCCAAAACTGCTCCGTACCCCACAGTCTTTTGCACTTTTGACTTCGAAATGTGCTTCGCGCCACAACGGCGTGCACTTTTTCGACATCCGAACCTCCAAAAGTGGCGCGAACATGTGGTGTTTTGTACATTTTGACTTGGAAATGTCCTTCGCGCCACAACGGCGTGCACTTTTTCGACATCCGAACCTCCAAAAGTGGCGCGAACATGAGTCGTTTTGTACATTTTGACTTGGAAATGTGCTTCGCGCCGCAACGGCGTGCACTTTTTCGACATCTCAACTTCCAAAAGTGGTCCGAATGTGGTGTTTTTAACATTTTGACTTCGAAATGTGCTTCGCGCCACAACGGCGTGCAATTTTTCATCTCTCATCTGGCCAGATGGCTCCGCACCCGCCGCTTTAGCGAGCCTACTAGTTCGACCCTCCGGAGCCACAAATCATTGGAAAAACAGAGTGTTTCGCGACTTTCCTACCTTTTCGCGCACCTGCATCTTCTTTCTTCTGACTCTTTCTCTTCTCTGATCTTCTCTGCTGCTCTTCTCTATTCTTCTGCTCCACCTCTGCTTTTCATCTGTCCATATTGTCGGAAGTTTGACTTCTAAACATCTTTCGATCATAATGAGGCCTCATGCGGCGGCCGAGCCGACTATGCCAGATATGGCTGCAAAGTCTTATTCCCTCTTTCTTGGTTTTGAATCTTCTGAACTCGTTTTTGAGAGATTTGAGAATGATCAGTTTCAAGTAGGTCGGGAAGGAACACCCCGGCAGTTTGGTTTCTTTGAACCAGGACGATCCGAGCAGGCTTCATTGCACAAGCTGCACCGCGCTGCAAAGGATCACTGCCACGTTCCCTTGAACTGACAGTCGAGGCATCCAAACCACTATGGTAATTTCTCTTGAACCCACTCTGCCATTCCAACCCATTCTGCCCATTGAAACCATTTTGATCTTTGGGCAGGGATGCCTCTAGTGAAGGGTACTGTGCATATTTTTGCATCAAGTACCATATAGTTGTACATATATATATATATATCTCTGACCAATTTAATTTATCTCTTGGGTCGTACCTTGTTTTCAAATATTCAAATGAAATTAAGCGAGGTCGTCTGATAAACGAACTTAGTGTGACGTCGTTGTCCAGGTTAGGTCGTTGAACACGCTTTGCCTGGCAGCACGCGTATGGGTCTCTTAGCTAATGGCAAAAAATGGATGGGCAGTTTTGAGGGTCGGTGTTTGTTGGGTGGACAAGAGAGAGAGAGATATATATGTATAAACATTAAAGCACACATATATATCTATATGTAAAAACTAAAAAGCACATAAATAATCATATATATATATAACATCCAAGTACTGCGTACAGAAATCTATCCGTCAGTATCGTGATCCCATTTCGGTGCTTTAACCCGCTAATATACATATACAATACCTGGGTAGAGATGAAGACAAGAATTGTCTGCAGGCAGGCATTTCCTGACAGTCCACATCCACAAATCACGCTTGCCCTGACTTCTGGCCTCCGGGAACAAGAATCTCGCAGAGCACCTGCGTGTCCAGGAGAGCCATGCTTCATGCACTGTTGGAGAGAAAGAGCAAGAGAAAGAGAAAGAGAGAGAGAGAGGGAGAGACAGATAGAGAGAGAAAGGGAGACAGAGAGCAGCCCCGCCTAAAGCAACCAAGACCGGAAACCAGCGTAGCCGGAACAGCTATCCCCGATTCCGGCAACGGCAAAGCCCCGCGCAACCGCAAGGCAGGTAGAACGCAAAATTGTGCGTAGCGCTTTTGTGATTTCCACGGCACGCGGAAAGCAAGCAAGGCCGGAAACCAACTATCCCTGTTTCTGGCAATGACAAGGCCCAGCAAAACCACTAGCCAGGTAGAACGCAAAATCGCGCGTAGATCGCTCATCTACGCGCGTTTTTGTGTGTCGGGGGCCTCGCAGCAATGCTGAAAGCAACCACGGCCGGAAACCAGCGTAGCTGGAACAGCTATCCCCGATTGAAGCAACGCAGAGCCCAGCGCGGCTGCATCGCGCGTAGATCGCTCATCCACGCGCGGTTTCGCGTTTTGGAGATGCAGCAGTGCCGCAGTAAGCAACTAAGACAAGATTTCAGCGTAGCCGGAACAGCTACTTATCCTTCATTCTTACAGCCGCAAAGCTGAGCCGCATCGCTTGGCAAATGCATCCCTGAAGCAGGCAAGGAAAAGTCAAATACGTAAAACTATGCTAAGCATCAACAAATAGCGTGACCTGCTATATTGCCCGCGTGATGATTTTTTTTCCTTCAAACGAAGAGGCCCAAAGAGAATCGAGCCTTGGCGTGGCTGCTGGGCCTGGGCTCAGAACCTCGGCGGAATAAGCCGACCCGTCGTGGCCGTTGGCTTGGAGTGGCGCTCCGGGCTCCTTCTGGCTACTCCAAGGTGCACTGGCATCGCTCTGCCCGGCGCACCCGCAATAGACTTTTTTCGCTACCGGCCAACCGGCCACCGACCGGCCAACCG